TCTTTGATTTTAACTTGGTTCCCAAATCCGATCAGTGGTTAAGCAGGGCTGTCTAGATTATCACTGTTACTGATCAAAAGAATGCTGGTGTTTCACGTCTGGGAGCTCGTGTCCGCCTTCACGTTCACAGGTAAAACCAGTTATCAGGCCTGTGGTCTTACCTAAGCAGTTACCCTTTCAAGAGTGCACTTGTGAACCGAAGTATAACTGTAGATTTAATTTCTTGCAATATAAGAACAGCAACATCTAGTTTTAAACACAGTATGAATAAAATACAGCATCTTCATGCATAACTAACTCTTCCTTACATTTAAATGGTTGAGTAATTATTTATTTGACAGTTTGTTTCATCAAATATCATCTACCTACAATGGCCGGGGACTACTCTAGGAGTGGAGAATACAGTAGTAAACATATCAGACAAAAATGTTGGCCCTCACAGAGCTTGCATCTAAACAAGGAGACAGACGGTAAAGAAGATAAACACGTTACGTGCATGGTGTGCTACGTAAACGCTGAAGAGAAGCTCTTTGTTCAACAGTTAGTTATTTTACTTGGAGTCTACTAAATCCTAGCATTGTTAGATACACAAGGGTGCTGAGGGCAGTTTCTGTCGTCAAAGAGTTTATAATCTAGTACAAAACCTTAAATGCCTCTCAGAGAAATGATGTAATTAAATTTGGACAGGAAGGGAAGGGCTCCAAAAACTGTATATACTATATGTATTGCGCTTTCCTTTGGCGTTTCTAAGCCTCTTCTGTAACTTCCCTTATTATGCAGTATCACATTTGGCCCAAACCAGCACAACTACTTTGTAAAACATGGAGGAATGATTTGTAAATTAGCAGACAATGCAATCTATTTTCTATTTTCATGGCTGATTATTTCTGTTCTGACCAAACATTTAGGCCTTGAGAGCCTCTGGGTTTTGAATGCCGATGTTATCATATCGAGACACTTGTTGCTGAGAAAGACAAAAATGGGCAGTTCAAAGGTACCTTGGGTACTGCGGTTTTCAGAATGAGTCAGGGACTGCAGCACTAGCTGAACACACCTTAAAAGTGCAGATCCTCATGTCCCTCCACCCCTCCTAGCTCACTGAATCGGAATCTCAGGTGGGGCCCTGCCATTTCTATTTTAACATTTATTTAGGATGTCAGAACCAGCTCTAGTAACTCTTAACACACTTGCACTCACTCGTGGATACTCACCAAGGCAGGTGGAGCAAGCACATGATTATCGAAGCTGAGAGATGCATATGCTAGACCCTGATTCGTTACATTTCACTTTATTGACATCTGCTTCTGACACCAACTGTGGTTGAGGTGTGAGACATACCACATCTGTGTTATAAATGTCTGTGAGGTAGGTATAGTCAGTTGAAAAGATCTGCAAACCAGGCTGGATCTTGTTGCTAAGTAACTAACAAATGGCCACAAGCCCGTCGTATTGTTTTAAAGTATCCGGAAGGGTGCACTCTCACCATCTCAGAAGCTTCTCCCTGTGTTAATTCATGTGACTGCTGGTCCGGGTCTCTGGTGTAGCTAGCTCTCAATGAGCTGATCTGCCTCTATCCTTGTATCTGTCCCCACTTTCTTTTTTCCTCTTGGTTCTCCTTTCCCCGCTTAGTCTCCTTCCATAAGAGAAACCTGCTGTTATTTTGCTCTCATTGATCTAACGTACTGCACTTATGCAAGAGTTTTGCATTCCAACTTTTCTTAATTTTAAAAGCAAACAAACAGGATAATTTGTTACCAAGAGGTAAAAACTAAATGAGATCGTGTTTCTTTTCAACTCATGTGAGAGATTTTGAGGGGTGTCCTCCCTACCCTTGAGGTCCTTTTGTTTTATTTTTGTGGGTGTTTCCACTGAAGCACAGCGTGCATATCAAGAAAGGCACAGGTCATGGGTGTGCGTCAGGATGAATTTTCACAGCGTGCCCACACCCACGTCATCACTCCCCAGGTCAAGAACTGGAACATGTCAACATCCAGACAGCCTTCCTCCCACACACCTTCCCCAGTCGCGCCCATCTCCTCCCCACCGTGAACACAGCCCTGAAGCCTGAACTCCTGGACTCACGTTGCCTGTTTGGGGGCTTTATATACATGGAATCGTACCACGTGTTTTATTCTGTGTCTGGTGCCTTTATCAACATTATGTTAGTGAGATTCACCCATGTGCTGCAGGTCGCTTCAGTTTCTTTTCATTGCTGGAGTATAATTACATTTCGGGAACACACCACCACTCATCCATTCTGTCGATGCACATTTTGAGTGTTTCCAGTGTGGGGATATTACAAATTCTCTTGCGTGTCCTTTGATGCACAACGTATATGAATTTCTTTTGCATGTTGACCTAGGAGTGGGTTGCTAAGTCATAGTATACACACAAACACACACGCACACACTCGACTTTAGCAGAGACTGTGAACCAGTTTGCTGAAGTGGTTGTAACCAGTAACACTCCCACCAGCCACGTGTAAGGGTTCTAATGGATTCACATCCTCTCTGTCACTTACTGTTGTAAGTATATAATTTTAGTCTTGCTGCAGGGTGTGTAATTGTCCCTCCTTGTGGCATTAATTTGCATTTTCTGATAACTGGTGATACTCAGCACCAGTGTGTGCTGGTTTTTGAGATGTCCCCTTTGGTGAGATTCCTTTTCAGATCTTTGCCTATTTTTCTACTGCGTTGTCTTTAGGAGTTGTGTGTTCTGGATAGAGCCCATAGTTGGAGATATATTTTACATCTGTTTTCCTACTCTGTATCTTCGGATGAGCAGAAGTTCTTTTAATGGGGTTAAACCATTTCCTTTATAGTCTTACTAAAGAACCTCTGCTTCTTTCATGAAAATGTTCTCACACATTATAGTCTAGAATCTTTAGTTTTACATTTAAATACACAATCCAAATGCAAACAATTTTTAGGTAAGCTATGAAGTGGGGATTTAAGATCTATTTTCACCTGTATGTATTATCTCAAGACCATTAGGGAATGGTTTTCGAGGGACAGAGAAGTTGCATGAAGCGTGCCCATGTGCCCTGCACCAGTTTCCCTTGTTGTTGTCCTCTCACGTGACTCTGGCGCCTGTGGGACAGCTGAGGCATTGATACTGATCTGTTATCACTCACCAAGGCACATACATTATTCAGATCGCCACCATTAGTTTTTCGCAAATGGAAGTGCTGTTAAAGGTTGCTTGGAGAGCGTCCTCTTAACTAAGTCTTCAGGCACATAGTCAGTCCATCATCATAGGAGGAGACAGCTGCCTTTGGTCTGAGCCTACGCTGGGAGAACTCTGCAGGGCTCAAGCAGTGTGAACTCGGGTCCCACGAGGTCACTGGGGAGGAAGTATGGAAATCCTGCGTGTAAAGGCCCTCCAGGTATTCTGCCTTTCTGAGTTTTAAAAGTGTAATGAGTAAGGAGCCTTATTCTTAAGTCCGATAGTCTGGAGTTTTATCATCTTTAACTAATGTTTAAAATATGTTTACGTTTAGTCACAGACTATACATGATTTATCTTACAACTGGAGTTTGTACCTTTTGACCACCTTCACCCATTTCAGCCCCTCCCCGACCTCTGGCAGCTTCCAGTCTGTTCTCTGTTTCCGTGAAGTTTTCTGTTCTGTTTTGTTTAGATTACATGTATCAGTGAGATCATACAGTATATTTGTCTTTGTCTGACTTATTTCATTTAACACAATGCCCTCAAGATCCATTTATGTTGTTGCAAGTGGCAGGATTTTCTTCTTTTTACAGCAGAATTCTATTCCAATGTGTGTATAATACACCGCATTTTCTTCACCCATTCATTCATTGGTGGACACTTAGGGTGCTTTCATGTCGTGGCTATCATGAATAATGCTGCCGTGAACACAGGGACACAGGTGTCTTCGAGGTAGTGTTTTTGTTTTCTTCGGATCCGTACCCAGAGGTGGAATTGCTGGGTCGTATGGTAGTTCTACTTTGTATTTTCTGAGGAAGCTCCACACTGTTTCCCACAGTGGCTGCACCGACCCTCAGTCCCACCAACAGTGCGTAGGGGTTCCTGTTTCTTCCCATCCTCTCCAGCACTCGTTGTTTCCTGTATTTTTGATAATGACCATTCCAACAGGTGTGAGCTGATACTTTGTCGTGGTTTTGCCTTGCATGTCCCTGGTGACTACTGGTGTTGGCCATCTCTGTGTCTTTGGGAAAACGGTCATTTCAGATCCTCTGCCCATTTTTAATCGATTTGTTTTTTCTCTCATTTTGTAGGTTGCCTTTTTATTTTGTTGGAGTTTTGTTTTTCATTTATTTTTGGCACTAAGCAGGTTTTTAAATTTGTGTAGTCCCACTTGTATGTTTTTGTTTTTGGTGCCTTAACTTTTGGTGTCAACCCCAAAAAATCATTGTGAAGTCAAGGAACTTACCCCCTATATTTTCTTCCAGGAGTTTTGTAGTTTCAGATCCTATACTTAAGTCTTTAATCCACGTGGAGTGGATTTTTGTGTTTAGTATAAAGTAGTTCATTCTGATCAGCTTTTAGATGCCCGAGGCCGTGGGTAGGGAGACCTCGGCATTAAGGTGCCCCTTTGACCTTGGATGTGTGTGGGAGACTGTGCCCGATACGGTCTCCTCCCCTGTTTTCGGCCCGGCCTGGGCAGCATCCCCACGGCCCCTAGTTCTGAGGAAGGCAGGACGGCAGCCCAGACTGCCAGGCCCTTTCCTGCAGACGTTCCCGTCACTCGCCTCCTGTAGACTTCGCTGTTCGCAAACTTAAGTGGTGCCAGCGTGCTTCAGAGTGTCCCTGACAGTCTTAACTGTTTGTGCGTGTCTTTCCCTGTGACAGCAGACGTTTAAATTATAGAGAGAAAGCAAGGAAGGCCAGCCAGTATTTCATGGTCTTTAACCCGGCAGTAACCCCCATCCTGGGTGACACTTTATGACACTTCCGTGGCTGACAGGCCGGCTCCAGATGCACACTTGGGTCACCCTGTCCTTGTCCCGCTTCCCGCAGCACCATGAGCTCCCGTCACTCCGCCAGCCCGGTCGTCTTCACCAGTGCCAGGAGTTCACCCAAGGAAGAGCTCCACCCCGCCGCCGCCTCGCAGCTCGCGCCTTCCTTCTCCTCCTCCTCGTCCTCCTCGTCTGGCCCTAGGACTTTCTACCCTCGCCAGGGCGCTACTAGCAAGTACCTGATCGGGTGGAAAAAACCTGAAGGAACCATAAACTCCGTGGGATTTATGGACACAAGAAAGTGAGAATTTTATTTGTGTCTCTTACCTGGTGATTTGCTTTTAACATGACAGAAAACAGAAAAGTTTGGGACGATTTTCTATGACCAAGGTGGCCAGGCTGGGAGGTGGGAAAGAGTTGATTTGGCAGGGACATTATTATTTTCCTAAGTAAAACTTGTCTCAAATTATTTCTGCCTCTCATTCCTTAAAAAAGATGGATTGCAACATGTTCAGATCGGAGAGCCCTAGATCTCCCATGAAACGGCACAGCCGTCCCCCTGACCCGTGGGAGATGTGTTCCGCACCCCCCGGTGATGCCTGAACCGCAGATAACACCGAACCCTACACATGTGTACTGTGTGTTTTCCTATCCATACATACCTTTGGTAGTTTCATCTGTAAGTCAGGCACAGTGAGAAATTAACAGCAATAACTAAAAATAAAATAGAGCAGTTATAACAACGTGCTGCACTGAAAGTCATGTGGATGGGGTCTCTCTGTGATAACTGACTTGGCAGCGGAGACCTGGCTGCGAAGGGACCCAGCGGAGGGCAGTGTGCACCTCCGGGGACGCGCTGGACACAGGGCTGGCTCGTGCCCCGGGCGGGGAGGTGCAAGGGTTCGTTCGTGCTACTCAGAATGGCACACCATTTAAAACGTGGGAGTTGTTAATTTCTGGATTTCCCCATCAACACTTTTGGAAGGCGGTTGGCGGTGAGTGAATGTGACCACTGAAAGCAGAACCTCGGGTAGGAGGGGCTGCTGGTGTGCCTGGAGAGCCGCCTTCAGAGTGACCAGCCCTCTGGTGCGAAGACCAGCCCTGTCCCTTCGAGGACATTAATCCAGCCTTTCCATTTAATCTTAACGGGGCCAGGCGGCACCAGAGGGAATATTAGAAAGTAAGGGACTGCATAGATAAAGGGCTTTTTACAAAGTACAGCAAAAAAAAAAAGAATAAATGATTCATTCCATTATTTTGTTTTTGCCTGTACAGAGATTGCATTTGGGATCCATAACCTGTGGTCTTTTATTAATGAGTCTGTTGCTAATTTTGGCTTAGTAGAGCTAATTATTTCCTGTAAAAGAATGATTGTTTCATCAAACTTTTTATTTTGTGTTTCAAATTGGTTTTGTTTCTTTAACAAGAATTTATCTGAGTAGCTTCTAATGTAGTTGAACAGAAGTAATTCTCACTTTTCTCCCGTATAATATTTCTCCATGACTCGCGTCCTTCAGAGCCCGTGGAGCCCTTCAGTCAGCCTTCCTGACCTCCTTCCTGCCGTCTCTCCCCTTGTATTCCAGGCGTCATCAGAGTGACGGTAATGAGATAGCCCACCCCAGGCTGCGCGCCTCGACCAGGGACCTCCGCGCGTCTCCTAAGCCAAGCTCCAAGTCCACCATTGAAGAGGACCTCAAGAAACTCATCGACCTTGAAAGCCCAACTCCCGAATCCCAGAAGAACTTTAAGGTACGAGACAGCTTGGGGTAAACAGCAGGTGGAGGGAGGCCAGGTGGGACAGAGCTGCTCACCAGGTACACCCTCCAAGAAGTGTCAGTTCCCAGCTCCTCCCACCATCCCCCATCATCTTCCCAATAGTCAGTTCGCAGTGCTTTCCAAACATTCTGTTCCTGTAGCCGCGTCCTTCCCGTCTGGGTTTAAGCCAGCCTGCCCCAGCCCCCGGGGCCCTTCCATCTCCAGGTCTCCAGTGCACCCTGCTCTCCGTGCGCAAGCTGCACTGTTCTCTAGTCTGCTGCTCCTCGGGCCTCTGCAGAGGCTTCTGTGGCCCCCTTGTCAGACAGAAACTCTCCTCTCAGGGCTTCAGTACCTTCTGCCCAAACGGCTCCCCTTCTCCCACAAATCGCCCCGCCCCGTGTGCCCACAGCACTCCGCACTCTGGCCTTGCTTCTGTCCGCTGGCCCTGGCCGCGCAGACGTGCTGGCTGTGCCTTGTGCACTCCCCAGTTCAGCACACTGCGCCTGCACACTTTCCTTCAGAACTCTCCGGACTCGCTCTGCTTCGTGGAGCCTTCCCTCCGTCCCCTCCCAGAATTCCAGGCTACACCTGCCTTCTCTAGAACCCAGCCTCCCTGCCCATCAAGTCCAGAGCACTCGCTCAGAGTTGATGTTCCTGTGTCAGTGACCGCACCTTTGCATGGCCGTGTGAAAGGGTTTGTTCTGCTCACCTCAGCTTGGAGGAGCCCGGAGCCTCCCTAAGGCTCCCCACTCTCGTCCTCCAAGATGTGCACGCGCACACTCCCGGGCTCGGAGCTGGTGTGTGCCGCCCAGGGCCCCGAGGTGTTGCCCTCTGAGTGTACAGCGCTCTGTCTGCAGTGTCTCTGGGAGCCCAGGACATGGGTGTCCACCCCCAGGGGGGTCACAGCAGTAAACTTGGGCGTGTTCTGTTCACTAGTGCTTAGTTAAGTGATTTGTAGTCTGTGTGAAATGACTAGCAAACTTAATTTATGAACTTGGAGAATCGATTGAAATGGAAGCCAGGCTATTAACTACTGGCCATCCCCCAGCTGTGATCAAAAGGCCAGGAAACGTGGCCATCTGGAGGAGCTGTGTGGTCCTGTCCCATCCCAGCTTTCTCGCCACGATTCCAGCGTGCGTGTTCCTCCAGATGGGGCAGATATGCCTCCTAAACCTAAAAATCAACACTTCCAGGACTGAAATGTACTCCCAAGACCACTCTGGAGTTCTGCAAAAAAAGCTATTTATTAACATATAAACATTAAGATCGTAAATCATTTTAAAGACTTGCCATTCTTGATTTCTGTTTTATAAGCCAGCACTTAACAGTTCTGACTCATCACCCAGAGTACAAATGGTTTCCTTAGCAACCGTGCAAAAGATAGTGCCTAAAATTTCTTTCTTTATCCATCGAAACCCAAAGAGGTGTATCAAAATGTTTAAGGACCAGTTTAAGAATAAAAATTATTTCACACTTTTCCTGTGATTCAGAGGAACATTAAACTTGCCATGAAAGGCGCCTTTCCTCCACTTCTCAGGTAGCCTGTTCGGACAGGGGCAAGCCCAGAGCACTCGTGCTTCCCGTCCACTCGTGCGCTGGAAGTAATTGGGAGCAGGTGTCTGTTTGCCATTATTTTTGGTCTTGGCTTTTATTTCCAAAAATGAATTACTTTAAAACATACCTATTTGAAATGGGGGTGCACATTCTTCATGTTGTGGTGATACTACTGTCAGACCCTCTGCAAAGAAAATGCTTCTGCCGGTGAAACTGTTACTGGAAGCAGGAGCTGGAAACATCCTGTATTTCCTCCAGTTGCGTCCTTTTTAGTTTGGTTTCAGATAAGTTCAGCTAAGTAGCTCCACGTGTCTTCTGAGATTTATCGTCTGAATGACCGTGGCTCTGCCGTGTCGGTAAGGCCAGTGTGGCCTGTGGAACATCTCCCAGGTCACGCCTGGCTCCAGGCTCCGAGCCGCTGCAGCTGCTGTGGGCGCCAGGAGGGGCCGGCTTCAGGCCGTGGCACTCGAAACCCACGCACACCACATTGGCTTTACTGGCCAGCAAGTGCTACCTGGGAGAGCTCGTCAGTTCGAGCCCAGCTTCACTCCCAGGCTCTTCTGCAGCTGAGTGGATACCGGATGTCTGGCGGCACCCTGCTGGGCAGGCTGCACTGTGGGGTGGGGCTGCAGGGCCCTGTGCAGAGGCTGTGGAGCTCCCACCTCTGCGGAAATGGCAGAGCTGTAGCGTTCTAAGAATCCTCGGCCTGCAGAGATAGAACAACCTTATTTGCCATGAGGGCTGCTTTACAGTGGCAAGTGAGCAGGCAGTGGTGCAAACCAGTAGTCCTGCCTTCCTGCCAATACTCTCAGGTGTAGACCAGAGGAAGAGGCCCAGGCAGCTCCAGTGTTAGGAAGACCTAATACCTGCTTGTTGCAAGTGCAGGGAACCCCATTCACTGAGAACCAGGAGGGCTGGAAAAGGGAGAGAACGGGAGACTGGCCTGGAGCAAGGCGCCACCTCTCTAGGCCCTATTCCTTGGCTTTGAAAGAGAGGACCAGAGTAGATCGATGGTGCTCAAATGGTTTTAAAGCTCAGGAACCAACCTTCCTTCCTTCCTTCCTTCCTTCCTTCCTTCCTTCCTTCCTTCCTTCCATTATCCATGGGAACTAATATGTAGAACTGCAAAAGCAGCATTTCTCTGATGGGAGGGGTGAACGTCATGAGCCCCTGGGTTCCACCTGAACATCTCTCCTCAGGAAGTGGTGTTGGGGTGAGCATCCAGGGTTCCTTGGAGTACAGTCTGAAAATCCCCTGGCCTGATGCTCTTTCACCTCCCTTCCCAGCAGACCATCAGTTTCATTGTGGTTCTTTCCACAGTGGGCTGGTAGCCCTGGGCAGGGCCAGTGGCAATCTCAGGTCTGACCTACAAGAAAGGTAGAGGGTGCTGCAAGAACGAGAGAGGTATGCACACCTTTAAGACTGGAATTGAAGGGGAATGGGGTGAGGAACCATCCGAACGAGTTTGGATGAGACTAGGTCCTGCTACTTTTTGGTGGGCGGAGCACATCTAACCACATTGCTTCCTTCCATCGCGTATCCTGCCTGCCTTTACTGCAGGACGTTATAACTTCTGGTAAAGCACGCTGCACCTAGGACCTCTCTTCAAGGCAGCTGTTTGCTGCTATGAGGCATATTAATATTTCCCAAAGGGACCGAAACTAGAGTTGGGAGAAATTTTCTTTCTTGTAAAACCAGCAGGGTGGGAATACTCACTGGAGAAAGAAATCCCTTTGCTGAAGCCAGAGGAACTGAAAAAAAAAAAAAAAGATCAACAGCAGGGCTTGAATGGACAGATCTGAGGTCCAACTGGGTAGGCAGAAGCCTGTGCGGTGGTCCGAGAGCCTAGTGGACGGAAGAGAGATGACCTGGTGTGTTTGTTGCTGTTTTAAATTACTATTGCCAAGCCATTTAACCTCTCTCGTGCCCACTCTTCTCTGTAAAGTGAGAAGAGAAATCGCTATTTCTGTGCCAACTTCCCTCCACTTAAAGACTCACGGAACACTTACCGTAGCACCTTCGTTCTCTGGGCAAGCACATGTGTGCCTGGGTTTGGCTCATCATGAATTTTTTAACATGAGCACAATTTTTACACAATTGGCTACTCCTGAGACTCATTTACAATGTTTTTGATTAGTACTTTTTTATGTATTTATGCAGCAACTGTGCACACCACATTGTGGGTAATGTTGACTTGGTTAACCCTTGAAGGGTGTGGTGAATGGAATTGTGTCAGGCCCAGAGCACATGAATGAACCCGAGTGTCACCTGTGTCCTCCGCACTCTTGAAAGGGAGCTGCTGCGGTGTGATGGCCTCGCTGCCTCTTCAGAGTGCCGTGGAAAGTCCCCCCGCGGCTTCCTGCCAGCCCTGGCTCAGCCCTCCTGCTCACATCTCTACCTGCTCCCCACACTGTTCTCCCTGCCAAGGGGAACGGTAGTCGAAGAGGAATTGAATAAATAGCAGCTTCATTGTCAACAGACCAAATACTCTGTTGGCTTTCAGGATACTGAATATTTAATTATTGTGAACGTGTCTGTTGTTTCTCAGTGAATGGGATTCTCAAAAGCTTGCTGTTTGCAGACAAATCTCAAGTAAAATCAAGTCCGGTCACAAAGACAAAGGACATCAGTAAGATACAGCTATCTGGAACATGCGTCCCTTTTCAACATGCATATAAATATTTGTCGTTTATAAAGATGATTTCCCTATTTTCATTTCATGAATAGAAATCTGTCTCAAAAAATACATGGTTGCCAAAACTCATTAAATGTAACTATAGCAGTTAATGAAGAGCCACCTATTATTTGGGTTATTATTTCGTGATGATCAGATGCTCTTGTTGTGCAGCAATCATGCAGTCACGTGACAGGCTTCTGAGGGTGCCTCCCTGGCGCCGTGGCTGTTCCCTCGGGGGTCCAGCATTATTCCCTAATACACCTCACTGATGTGTGCCACTGTGAACAGCCCAGTGTCTCACTTAACCCCTAGTAACCCAGAGAGGTGTCGTGCCCCTGCTCCATAGACTGGGACTTGGGCTCAGAGAGACGGCATGGCCTGGCCAACGACAGAGCCTTCCAGTGCGACAGACTCATGTTTGTGTGCTCCTCATCTTGCTCTCGCCCGAGACACAGTATTGACGGATCTCTTAATGACGTGTCTGAATGCGGCACTGAGCACTGATGGGCAGCGTGCTGGGCTTGGAGGTTGTGGTGAGCAGCAGCCCTCATTTTGGCTGTAAGGTGGTGCTGGACCTTGAGGCTTGCTTGTTGGGCTCCAGGATTTGACAGGGTGTGTCTGAGAGCAATGTTTTTGTTAACTCACCCATTCCCCCAAACCTGGGTCTTGGGCGTGCAACCGAAAAACTGACCTTCTGTTGTCTTTGCGCTGTTTTTCAGTTCCAGGCGCTCTCCTCGCCGCAGTCTCCTTTCCCCACCACCCCCACCTCCAGGCGGGCCCTGCACCGAACGCTGTCGGATGAGAGTATTTACAGTGGCCAGAGGGAGCACTTTTTCACCTCAAGGGCTTCGCTGCTGGACCAAGCCCTGCCCAATGATGTCCTCTTCAGTAGCACGTACCCTTCTCTCCCCAAGTCTCTTCCGTTGCGGAGGCCTTCGTACACCTTGGGAATGAAGTCACTGCATGGTAAGTTGGTCCGTGGCTTCAGCTGAATGGCCCTGCTGATGATGACAGTGTCCCCAGAAACAGCTGTCATTCACTTTGCTCAGGGAATGACAACTGGAGGAAGCACTGCTGACACGCTCTTATCTCAGCTCACCCACACCCCCTCATCCGGCCTCTCAGCAGCAAGCCCCGACCATGGGGTACAGTCCACCTCCCCAGGCCACGAGTCACCTGGGGTGCTTGTGGGGGTTTTTAATTAGGGTATAATTGACACATAACATTATATCAGTTTCAGGTTTTTAGCATAATTATTGATGTTTGTTTATACTGCAAAATGATCACCACAGTGAGTATAGTTACCATCTGTCACCATACAAAGTTGTTTTTTTTTTTAATGAGAACTTTGAAGATTTACTCTCCTAGCAACTTCCAACTATGCAGTACAGTGCAGAATGGGGCAAAATAGGTTTACAATGTTTCGTATGGAAAATAACACAATAATTAATAAGTAATAATACAAGAAAAACTTTGTGTTTCGTGTCCTCACAACTACAAACCTGCTTGTCCCCCCGACATCATTAGCCATACTCAGCGTGCTGTACCCCCTCAGGACCTGTCTTTCTCCGTCAGACATTTTACAGTTGGCACAGTGTCCTCCAGGCCCAGAGTGTTGCTGATAGCAAGACTGCATTTTGTATGGCTGAGTAATATTTCGTGGTGAATATATGCCACATTTTCTTTATCCATTCCTTCATCAGGGAACACTTAGGTTGATTCCATATCTTGGCTATTGCGAACAATGATGCAGTAAACATAGGGGTGCATATATCTTTTCAAATTAGAGTTTGTACTTTTGGGGGGTAAATACCCAGAAGTAGAAGTGCTAGATCAGGTGGCAGTTTTACTTTGAGGAGCCTCTGTACTGTTTTCCAGAGGGGCTGCACCAGCTTACCTTCCTGCCAACAGTGCACGAGGGATCCCTTTTCGGCACATCCTCGCCAACGCTTGTGTCTTGCCTTTCTGGTAACAGCAATTCTAACCAGTGTGAGGTGACATCTCAATGTGGGTTTGTTTTGCATTTTCCTAATGACTAGTGAAGTTGAGCATCTTTTTATGTACCTGTGGGCAGTCTGTAAGTCTGGGAGAAAGTCTGTTTAGATCACCTGCCCATTTTGTCTTCAGAGTGTTTGGTGTTTGCTGTTGAGTTGGGAGTTCTGTGTATTTTGGATATTAACCTCTTATCTGAAATATTATTTGGAAATGTTTTTCTCCTCAGTAGATTGCTTTTTCATTTTGTTGATGGCCTCTTTGCTGTGCAGGAGCTTTTCGGTTTGATGTAGTCACACTTGTTTATTTTTGCTTTTCGTGTCATCTAAAAGTGTATTGCCATAACCAGTGTCATTGCCGTGACTGATGTAAGGGAGTACGCCTACGAGCAGTGGGTTATGAAATTACCACCTGTGTTTTCCACTAGGAGTTGATAGTTTCATGTCTTACATTCAAGCCTTTAATCCATCTTGAGTTAATTTGTGTATGGCGTAAGATAATAGTCCAGGTTCATTTTTTCGTATGCGGTTATTTATTTTCCCAACACCATTTATTGAAGAGACTGTCCCTTCCCCATTTTCTGTTCTTGGCTCCTGTGTTGTTAATTAATTGACCATATATGTGTGGGTTTATTTCTGGACTCTTCATTCTATCCCAGTGATGTGTATTTCTGTTCTTATACCAATACTATAGTTTTGATTACTATAGCTTTATAATACAGTTTGAAATCAGGAAATGTGATGCCTCCACATTTGTTTTTTGTTCTTTCCCAAGATTACTTTATTCATCTTTCCCAAAATTACATTAGTATTTGAGGTCCTTTGTGATTCCAAACCAATTTTAGGATTGTTTGTTCTCGTTCTTTGAAAAATGCCTTTACTAGTTCGATAGGGATTGCCTTGAACCTGTAGATTGCTTTGGGTAGTGTAGACATTTTAATGACATTAGTTCTTCCAGCCCATCAGCATGGTGTATCCTTCCATTTATTTTTGCTGTATTCAGTGTGTTTCTGCAGTGTCTGACAATTTTCTCAGTACAGGTCCTTTACATCCTTGGTTAAATTTATTCCTAGGTATTTTATTATTTTTGATGTAGTTGTAAACAGAATGGTTATCTTAATTTCTCTGATATTTTGTTTTTAGAAACATGACAGATTTGTGTAGAAACATAACACATTTTGTGTATTGACTTTGCATCCTGGAACTTTACTGAATTCATTATTCTTACAGTTTTTTGGTGGAGTCTTGAACATAACACTCTCTAATATGTGTCATCTGCAAATAGTGAGTTTAACTTACTCCTTTCCAATTTGGATGCCTTTTATTTCCTTTCCCTGTTTAATTGCTATGGCTACAATTCCCAATACTACATTAAATAAAAGTGGTGCGAATGGGCATGTTTGTCTTGTTTCTGACCTTAGAGGAAAGGCTTCAGCTTTTCTCCATTGAGTATGATGTTAGCTGTAGGCTTATACGTGGCCTTCATTATATTGAGGCACATTCCCTCTGATCCACTCTGCTGAGAGCTCTTATCATAAGTGGATGTTGAATTTTGTCAAATGCTTTTTCTGCATCTATTACATGATCACATGATTTTATACTTTGTTAATGTAGTGTTATATTGGTTGTTCTTTCATTTGCAGATCTGTAGTTGTGGAACCATCCTTGCATCTCTGTAATAAATCCCACTTGATCCTGGTGTAAGATCCTTTTAATGTGTTGTTGAATTCAGTCTGCCAATATTTTGTTGAGGATTTTGCATTTACATTCATCCAGGGTATTGGCTTATAATTTTTTCTTGTGGCATCCCTGTCTGGTTTGGGTATCAGGGTACTACTGGCCTCATAAAATGAGGTAGAAATTGTTCCTTCCATTTCCATTTTTGGAAGAGTTTGCAAAAGTTAGTTTTCATTCTTCTTTGGATGTTTGGTGGATTTCCCCCGTCAAGCTCTCTGGTCCTGGACTTTTGTTTATTGGGAATTTATTGGGACGTTTGTGATTACTGATTCAATCTTCTTACTAGTAATATGTTCACGTTTTTCTATTTCATTATGATTCCGTCTTGGTAAGTTATATGTTTCTAGGAATTTATTTCTTGTAGGTTGTTCAGTTTGTTGGTGTGTAATTATTCATAGTAGTCTCTAACAATCTTTATTTCTGTGGTATCATTTGTAATGGCTTCTCTCTCATTTCTGCTTTTGAGTCTTCTCTCTTTATTCTTGGTGAGTCTACAGGTTTGTCTCTTTTGTTTATATTTTCTAACAACCTGTTCTCAGTTTTATTGATCTTTAATTTCTTTTTAGTCTTTGTTTCATTTATTTCCTTTCTTCTCCTAAATTTGGGGCACCTTTTGTTCTTTTTCTAGATCCTTGAGGTATAAAATTAGGTTGTTTGAGATTTTTCTTGTTTCTTGATGTAGGCATTTATTACTATAAACTTTCCTCTTAGAACTGTTTTGGCTGTATCCCACTGGTTTTGGTATGGTGTGTTTCCATTTTCATTTGTCTCATGGTATTTTTTTATTTCCATTTTGATTCTTCTTTGACCTGTTGGTTATTCAGTAGCATTTGCTTAAACTCCACATATTTGTGAATTTTTGTTTTCTTCTTGTAATTTCAACCTTCATACCATGGTGGTGGGGAAAGATGCTTGATATGATTTCAGTCTTTTTAAATTCATTAAGACTTGTTTTGTAGCCAACAATATGATTTATCTTGGGTAATATTCCATGTGCACTTGAGAAAAATGTGTATTCTGTCACTTTGGGATAGAATATTTTAATTTTATTTTTATTTTTTTAATATATTTGTTAAGTCCATTGGGTCTAATGTGGCATTTGAGGATAATGTTTTCTGATTGATTTCCTGTCTGGCTCAAATCTTATCCATTGATGTAAGTGGGGTATTAAAATCCCTTACGTTATTGCATTACTCTCTATTTCTCCTTTTAGGCCTGTTAATATTTGCTCTATATATTTAGGTGCTCCTCTGTTACTGTGTAAATACTTACAAAGGTTATAACTTGTTGAATTTACTCCTTTATTATTATGGAATGTCCTCCTTTGTCTTTTCATCTGGTATCAGTATAGCGGCCCAGTTCTTTTGGTTCCCATTTGCCTGGGATAGCTTTTGCCATCGCTTCACTTTTAGTCTGCATATGCAGTTACATCTGAAGTGAGTCTCTTATAAGCAGGAGGTATATGGGTCTTTTTGGTTTTGTGGGGGGGGATTGTTTTTTTTGTTGTTTTTTTTTTTTTACTTATTTGGCTACTCTGTGTCTTTTGATTGGAGCATTTAGTGTATTTACATTTAAAGTAATTATTAATAGGTATGTACTTATTGCCATTTTATTAATTTTCTGTCTTTTTGTAGTTCCTCGGTGCCTACTTCTTTCTCAGTTTCTTCCTTTGTGGTTTGATGACTTTATGTACTGGTTAGATTCCTGTCTATCTTTCGTGTATCTACTGTGGGTTTTTTTCTTTGTGGTTACCATGAGGCTTACATACAACAACTTATAAGTCTATTTTTAGTTGATAACAGCTTAAGTTTAAATGCATTCTAAAGCTCTGTGCGTTTAGTCTCTCCCCCAATACTTTGTTTTTGATGTCAGAATTTACACCTCTTTATTTTGTGTATCCTTTACCTTATCATTAAAGTTATCTGCACTACTTTCATCAACACTCATCCTAGTTTCATAAGTAATTAATCTACCACCTTTTTATATATTTACCTTTTCTAGTGAGATTTATACTTTCATGTTTTCTTGTCATTAATTAGCACTCACTCTTTCAGGACAAAGATGTCCCTGTAACCTTTACTGTCTGGCTGGTCTACCTGTCAGTGTGTCAAAGGGGAGGGGTTCAGTCAGTTCTTATATCCAGGCTGATAGGAAGCCAGATCCTCTGGCAGCAGCATTTACAGTCTGCAAACATACATAGTCCTGTGGGACTGTAGACATTGGCCCTGCCGGTCTTCAGAACCAGGCAATCCAGTGGTGTCACCTGGCAGCAGTCACAAAATTGAGGTGCCAGGTGACTGTATAAACTTCTTCCAGGAGCTGCTGGTGAACTGGAGTGAGGACAAGAAGAAAGGTGGCATCCATCAGCCCCTGTGCCCTGAGAGTCTCTTCGTAGAGTCTGGTTGGTTGCCAAATCTGAACCTTCCCCTGGGCCAAAGTTCCCAAACAAACAAGCCTTTTTCACAGAAAGACTCTGATTGGTGCAGTGCCTAGGGATCCCAGGAATGCAAGCCCCCTTGGCCACCAGAGTCGGGCAATCAAGGAACCCCCCTGCCTGGATCACAGCTGCAAAAACCAGGGCACCAGATGTGTGTGAAAGCTGCCCTTTCGGATCTTTTTTAAAAATACAGATTTCCAGTCCTTCCTCCAGACCTGCTGGATTTGAGTTTGAATACAAAGATGTATATTGAGAATTAGTATTTTTTACCAAACATCCCAGCTGCTGTTATGTTGGGTAAATGTGGGTAACAGCTTAGTTATTTCTTAGACACTGTATTCACTGCCTCCCTCCAGCCACCATGGAACCCCCCCTTGACCTTGTTCTCGGTCGTTCCCAGGCTGTGAAGGTGTTGTCTGTGGTGCCAACCACTTGCTTGTTGACTCTTTCATCCACTGAGTGAGCACGTATTTCAGGAAAAGGCACGTTGACGATGGGGTACCTCCACGTTCTTGCCTTTGTTCACAAATGCCCGTTTGCTCTGTCTGGATCCCACTTTCATGAAGGGCCATATCCTGGGACTGTGGATTGACATTTGTCCTTTTCCTCTCTCCTCTCTCCATCCAACTCCATTCCTTCCCCACCGTGACCCAGCACAGTGGATACCTGTTATGGAGCCGGTCTTCCTGCCTGTGTATTACACATACAGCTGTAACCACACCTCCCTTCTGCCCTTTCTTCCTGGGAATTCTGTGTCCATTCATTCACACCCACACTCCTTTTCCTTCTGCTGCTGCGCAGAGCAGTGTTTTCTTTAAATCTGCTGCTGGCCTGGTTTGCTTTCTCCGTGCATCTTTCGTGAGCTCTCAGCCCACCCTCATGAACGGCCCCCCAGCGTCTCCATCCCACTCACTGTTCCCATCCCCCCTCCACCCTGGCAGGCGTCACTTGGGGATCGTGCCAGCCTCTCCTTCTCCCACCCCTACCCAACTGTAGCTTAGATCTTGTTTCTCTTTGCTCGAGGAGGTCATCCCCAAAGAACCAAAATAGACACATGGAATGTCCACTTCTTACCATCCAGACTCTAGAAAAAACCTCGTAGTAACCCAGTAACCAGCAACCTTTTCTCCTTTGTTGTCCCTGCACTGGAGCCACCCTCCCCTGGATTCCATTGCTCCTGCAACCTTCTGCCTACCTTGAGGGCTTTTCTAACTTCCCTGCACTGTTTTTAAACCTTTGCAGCAATAAAAATAAATGCGTTGTAAAGGCTTCTCTGCATATGTCTGTCAAAGTAGGCCCTGTCTTCTAGAGACTCGTGTTCTAAGAGAGCAGCTCAGAAAATGCACACACAGTCCTCATTCAGCTGATGAATGAAGCCTGGGGTTAAAGCCCAGCCTGAGGAATGGGAAGGAAAGTCTCCCTTTCTGAGCACCTGCCCATCTTCCTCCTTTCCTGAAGGTCAGGCGGCAGCGCCATGGTCCTGTGTCCTCAACAGGGCAGGCCTTGCTGGGCTGACCCTCAGCCCCGGCACGGGTGTGAATACACTGCAGCGTGTTTGGGCAGTGGGGAGGGCTGACTTCTCTGTTCCCCCATGTGGAAATTTGAGCCCCAGCTCTGAAAGGGCAGAGGGTTATGAGTGACACACAAAATTGTCTGTTCCACCTCCTTACCCTTGGTGGGAGCAAATTTCAATAGAACTGAGCATTTAATATCTGGCGGTATTCGTTGATTTCTATTCACTCATAATTTGGCTAATTTTAAGCACATTAATAACTAGCAGCTGCTCTTCAGAGCAGTTCTTCATGTAATCTGAAAGGGAAAACAAGCACTAAATATACCCGAGTTTACCAGGCTCTCGTAATTGACGGCTCTTTTTAACTCCTTGTAAACAGGTATTTCTGGAGTTGCTTACATGTTTTTACTGAGAGCGTCACTTTTGGTTCTGTGTCTGCGTGGATGGTAGTAGTGTCCCAGTCCCATTCTGAGGGCTGAGCCCTTCTCGTAAAAAGGTGCACTCTGTCCCATTTCCCCCACCTCCTGCCCTATTGAGAGCCTTTACATTTCTTGAGCTCCACTAGCCTTCCCTCTCTGTTCTCCACACACATGAACTTGAGTGTAGCAGCATGCCCTTATACGGCATGGAGTGGCTCTTTCTCCAGTCCTCCCTGCCTCGGGCTAAGCAAAGGTTACTTGTTAAGATGGCTTACTGTTTGTATTTAAAATCTCACCTTAGCAGGGGCTCAGGATGCTAGGCTGCTGTAACCCCACCCCGATCCCAGGATTGCTCACTGTGCCCTTGGGAGAGAGAAGAATCCCTTCCAGCGCTAACCCCTTGCCTCTGGGAGGAGAAGTGAGGTGCCGGAGCTGCCTGGACCCCACCGGAGACAGACAGCTCTTCCAAAAGCAGACTCGTTGCCTCGGTGCAAACCTAACTTTTCCATGAGTCACACTACTAGAAACGAGGTAGTAAGAGGTTGTCAGAAAACGATTCAAGACTGGAGGAAGTTGATCTGTAGTTGAACTCAGCTTGGAACGGCCACTGAGGACCTGCGAGGCCAGGCTGATCCCAGGGCCTGAATGACGTGCCCATCTGTTGTGGTGCCAGGAGATGGGTAAGCTCCCCCGTGGCTCTCCCGTGGGCGTGAGAAGTGTCTGATCCCTCGTCTCCTCCCGCAGGGGAGTTCTCGGCTTCGGACAGCTCCCTCACCGACGTCCAAGAGACCCGCAGGCCCATGCCCGACCCCGGCCTCATGCCCCTGCCCGACGCTGCTGCAGATCTGGATTGGTCCAACTTGGTGGATGCCGCCAAGGCCTACGAGGGTGAGTCCACTGAGGGTCTGAGCGGTCCGACTCCAGGCTTTGGCAGGGCCTGCTGCAGGGTGAGTGCTCTGGTCGAATCTCCATTCCTCTGCTTCTTTGGACACGGAGACGGCACGTGCACGTGACTGGCACAGCCAGAAACCAGTTGAGCTGACGGTTATTGAGCACTCACAGGGACACACGTCTTCTGATTCGGTCGCATGGAACCTGGTGTTTCCTCTGCCTAGGAGTTCGTAACGTGGGTGCTTTCCCTCCCTGCGTGTGGGAAGGGCCGGCGGGAGAGGAGTCCCAACAGTCATTTGACTGAGAAGAACACCCTTCCTCTCAGCGTAAAGACATCCTGGGCAGGCGCACAGTTGGATGTGTTGGCACACTCGTCCTGCTGGGCCCCGCCCCATCCCGACAGCGGCAGGGGCCCCCCTTGGCACTCCCCTTCCCCTCTCCCGAGTGCAAGTGCAGCGCAGCACCAGGCTGAGCGCTGGCCTCGGCCGCTGGTTCCTAAATGCAGGCCCTTGGACGGTGCTGACGTCTGTGCAGCTGTAAGTAGTGCCATCCTGTGTGTGGTCACCGGTTGTCAGGTGCCTCTTGTGAAACAGACTGACTTCACTCTAAGATTCTCATCCCCAACTAGTTGCTGTTAAGTAGTCCTTCATAAATGAGGATGAGAGCAGGTGATTTCCTTGCGGGGGCGAAGGGGTGGGTAGCAGCAGTGTTTCTATTTGCTCTTCCTTGAAGAATTGAAAGTAGCTCATCAGTTGAGCTCCAACTTTCAGGAGAAACTGATTAAGCATCGGAATTGAGAAATCAGCAACAAGGAAACCTCCCCCGCCGCCCCCCCAGTAGCTGACAGCAGTCCCACACTAACCGATTGTAAATTTCAGTGTGTCACTCACTCGCATTTACATATGTATATCATGGTAGAGGTTTTGTGTGTCTAATGGGGGGGGTTAATTTGATTTTTTTGTTTTTAGATCAAGTTTTAAGTTGGTATGTTTTTAAGTTGGTAGGCACATGTGTGTGGACTGAGGTTACAGCCCTGCAAGGTGGTGAGGTGTCTTGTGGAAAACATACTTCAGGAAGTCTCGAGAAGCTTAATACTAGCTCTTTAATGCATCGATACCATCACTGAGTGGAAAGCCTTGTCTGGAAATTTGGCACAAGGCCTGTTTGCAGGGAAACATCTAACAGAATGCTACTTTGATAAGCGAGAGAAAAGGACTAAAAATCGATTCAGGACAGCTCCTTTTAAAAGGAAAATCACAGTGTTACAGCTTAAAACAGTTTTTTCCTGTGAGGGTGGGGAGATGGGGTCCGCAGTGCCCCCCCGCCCGGCAGTTAGAGGTCAGGGTGGGCCACGTGCTGGCCTCGGACTGCTGAGCCGTTTCTGCCTCCTCTCCAGTCCAGAGAGCCTCGTTCTTCGCTGCTACTGATGAGAACCGCCGCCCCTTGAGCGCCGCCTCCAACGGTGACCAGCTGGAGGACCTGGCCCCGATGAAGTCGTACAGCAGGTGGGTCCCCTGGGGGTAGGGTCCCCGAGTGTCACCCACACTGCTGGCGGACACAGGGGAGAGGAGATGGAGGCCACGCAGGTTGGCTGGGGGATGGACGCTCACCGCCATGGCACCAGCATGTGGCGTTTTAGTTAGAGCACTTTGTCCCTCACACCGCAGCCCAATTGAATTGTCCTCGATCGCTTAAAGTGGAAATTACGCATCGTCTTTGTTGTCCAATGCTATTATACAGTTATACCTGTGGGGCTTATCAGGTAAGGTCAGAAAAATCCTTTGCACTAAAATCTCCCTGATCCCCATGTGGTGAGTCCTTGAGTCTCCCCCACAGCTGTCTGCGGTCACGCTCATGTGTGTGTCTGTGTCTTAGCTGCTGCCGATGCACGCTGCACCTCGGTCACCAGGGCAGTCCAGGTCGTGCGTCACATGCAGAAGCAGTAACTGAGCCCCAGAGGGCTTTCTTACGAGAACACGGACTTTGACTTCTGTTTGCTGGTGCAGAGGCTGATATTTCCCCTCAGGTCCACGCGGTGTGGTGGGGTATTTATGGGATACCCCTGTGTGTGTGATGTCATTGTACCAAAGATCCTCGAGTAACATCATTTGTTGTGACAGCGGTGGGATGCTGTAGGAACGTAACTCTCGGTTGTGTCCATTAGCCTGTGGTAACACTGGTTGTTGTAGGTCACTTCACTTAAAGTGGCAGGACCTACATGTGACGCTAAGGGAGGACGTACTGTGCAGGAAGGCACCTCGGCAGTCAGCCATAGGACACGCAGTAAGCGCGCCTCGATGCAGGATAATTCCAGCAGTCTGAACCCTCTTCCCCAAAACCTTGGGAGATGGCTAAGAATCCAGGCACCTCTATCTAAAACTCGGTAACAGGCGAGGCGAAGGGGTTTAGAGCGCACAGATACGCCAGAGCTCGCGCCTGAAGACTCCGGAGCGAGTCCTCGAGGAAACCCTATCCGTGCAGCCAGCGTGAGAGCAACGGATCATCCTTCGTGAGTGTAGTGGACAGGTGCCGCATTCATGTCCCCACTGCAATGGCTGGGGAAGGAGAGTGGCAATGACATTGGCTGTTGACAACTTTAAAACTGCAGGTTTGGGCGGGGAGATTCCAGAAATGCCTTCTTAGGGTGGGGTCTCTGGCAGAGAGGAGTCTGGGCCGACAAAGTCCATTTTCCCGAGAAGGACTGACCACTGAGCAGCTCTTAAGCCTTTGTAGAATCATAAATGAAGGTGATGGTCGGCTCTGTTCTTTGTTCACTGTGATGAACAAATGCAAGAGGATTTCACTGTTTTTACAAATTATCAGCATCCACGCAGACACAGAATTCATTCTGAAAACCTCCGGAAGTCGAAATGGGCTCTGAGAGCCGCTTCCACGCTGACCACATGCAGTGGCTACATCAGCCCTGTCACAGCCGAGCGTGGCCTGGGTCCTTGTGAGCCCCCCAGCCTGCTCAGTGATCCTGTGTGGCGCCACCCTTACCTGCCCTACCTTTGGCCCCCAGCCCACCTGGACCGACCAGCTTGCTGCGCTGTGTTGGGCAGTGCAGTCACAGCCAACTGCTCGCCTTTGAAAGTCTGCTTGTTGTCAGCTTTTAACTGGTTGTCCTGTCTTAGAAGTTGGAAGATCGTTATCATTCCATTTATTTGCAGCCTGTGACGCTGTAAAAATAATACATTGTTTTACCTTTTGCGCTCGTTATAGCTCTAGAATTAGCAAAAGACAACAACACAACTCATTTTAGGTCAGGGATTCAAACTTTGATTTTTAAAGTAAAGAGTGCCTTTTATTCCATTATTTCAAAAATTCAGAGTCACTTCCTCCTCCCCTTTAACCTCTGGGAAGAGGCCGCTGCACTTTATCCCAATGGAAGGCATTAGGTTCTCGGTTGCCGGGCTCCGAGGTCGTGCCCGGCTAGGACTCACTGCAGAGCTTGGCGCAGCTGGAGTTCGGGTCGAGGAGAGTGGGGGGAGAAGAGCCACCGAGGGCCCTCAGCCTTGCCCAGCGTTTGGGGGGCTTTCTCCCCCTCTAACTCACCCTCCCTTCACTGCTCCAGCAGGGCATTCATTACTAGTCCTTACAGAAAATGAGAGAAAATAAGAAAACTCTGTCTGGCTTGCTGATCATAGTAGCAAAGAACATAAGACATTAAGATTGGACTGACAAGTTTTTGAAACATGTAGTCATTCTTTTAATCTAAGATATTTGGTCTAGGTTTTAAGATATGAGCACAGTAACTTGCGTGCAACTGGATGGTGGTCAGAGACTGTTTTCGGGGAACCAGAGGCTCTGTCCTGGTCGCCCCAAGGTACAGTCAGTCGCACTTACATCAGCCCTGCCCCCACCCTCTCCTCCTCTTACAGCCACTGAAGAGCTAGGAATCATTTCACTGTTTGACTGTGGTGCCTGCCAGAGAGACCATTTTCATTCACTACCCTAAATGTCACAAATGTAGCATCTTTAACAAAGGAAGCTACTGATTGGCCATAGCTCATGCTTGTATTGTATAACCTTATATTGAGATGGCCATTTTACAGACACAGCCGCCCCATTTTTAAAAATGCTCAACAAACCTGGCCATAGAGGCTCCTCCTGCCAACATGGTCTTTCATTTCTTGTTCCCAGCAGTAAAGACTCCTCTCCCACTCTGGCTTCTAAAGTGGACCAGCTGGAAGGGATGCTGAAGATGCTCCGGGAAGATCTGAAGAAGGTAAACACACGTTCTCGAAGCACATTGCCCGGGCTGTGCAAACGGCCCTTTTCAAAGAGTGTCAGTGCAGCAAGAGGCCGGTGTAGGGGGAATGCTTGGAGCTCAGCCCCCGCTGACACGCGTGATGCGAGATGGCCGTCAGGTGGACCCTTGGTGGGGAAGCCTAGAACCTCAGCCAGCCCCCTCTGAGCCCCGTCCTGGCCTCCGCTTCCCCTGTATGACGGGTCGGGAGCCCAGACCCCAGGCTATCCCTGTGATTTGTGCTTTTGTGCCAGGAGACTTGGATCTTGTTTTGTTTCTTGAGCAGCTTTGACTATATTAAGACAGCAACCACCAAAACAACAGTCTAAAATTTAAGACAGCCCTTATTAGCCAAGACATTAAAATCGACATTATTTACATTCCATAACAAACCCGCAGTGAACCGCTCTGGAACTCCTGTTCCCTGGGCTCTAACCCCGGCCCAGGCTTGTACGCAGGTGTTCAGGCGCATGAGCGATGGAAACAGGCGGGCAGTGGCACAGACCCGGAGCCGCCCCCACTAGCAGCCCGGGGAGGGGGCCGCCCTCTCAGTCCTTTTCT